TGTATTATGAATAGAAGACATATATTGTGAGATATATGAAAACTAAATCATATTTAATCATCTGTATTCCTTTATATCAAAAGGCCAGTCTCAGTATTTTTTTTAAAAAGGGAAATAACTCTTTTGCATCCCTGTTTTCCAGAAGTAATCTTTCTTTTTTAACAGCTAAAAAAATACAGAATAGAAAAATACAATTTGATTCACTATTAATGTTTTCCTTTTGAATATATAATTTGGATTTTAGCACAAAAGCAGCTGTTTTAGCTGGATCAAGAGACTAAATACATACTAAACTCTTATTTATTCACCAGGACTTTTTTTTAACTAGGCTTGGAAGGTGCCAAGAATTTAATTGGCAGAATGACATGATTCTTATGTAGCTTATGTTTTAGCTGTTAGCTACTTTACTGAAAACTCAAAACTAGAAATATTTCAAACCTCCCTCCAGGTTTTTTTCTTTGAAGCTCACATTATTAATTATACATATGGTTCAAAATACACATTACAAATGTGTAAATGCCTGTTTGTAAAGGAGTGAGACTACAGTGCTTCTCTTGATTTAATGAACAGATAAGACCACCTGTCAGTCTAGTACCTTTCAGGTGGGTGACATTTCTAGTGGCTATGTTGACTAAAAGCTAATGTTCAACACATCTAGATTATGGAAGATTACTGGGATAATGGGGCAAATATTCTTATCTCTTGGTTAAATCTGTTAGCTGAATATTTTCTGGAAAGCTTTATAAAACGTTCTTATAAATCTCAGCAATTTGGAAATAAAATCCTCTTGCCTGAAAGTTGCTATAAAAGTTATTCTTTCAATAAAAGAGGATAATAAGATGACATAAAGTCATATCTTAAGATTTTTAAATTTCTGCATTGAACTTTTGATAGATGGATTTGCAATTCGCCATCTGTACCAATATAATAATTAAGTAATTAATTGTTTATAAAAAGATTACAAACTATACACAGAAGGAATTATACAATTTTCTATAGTACTTTGAACAAACTGTTGGATTTTCTATTCACAATCAATTATTATTATAAGACTGAGTGGCTGTGGCTGCCAGCGTCCCGGTACAGCCAGTTAGTCCCATCACTAACTATTGGGGACGAGTCATTGACCCCCGCAGAGAAAGTTCGCAATTTAGGCATCCTCCTGGATGCACGATTGTCTTTAGAAGATCATATAACAGCCGTGGCCAGAGGAGCTTTCTATCAGGTTCGCCTGATTCGCCAATTGCGTCCCTTTCTAGACTGGGACTCATTACGCACAGTCACTCAAGCCCTCGTCATTTCCCGACTTGACTACTGCAATGCTCTCTACATGGGGCTCCCCTTGAAGTGCACCCGGAAGCTCCAACTGGTCCAGAATGCGCAAGTAATTATGGGAGCAACATGGCGCTCACATGTAACACCTCTTCTACGCGAGCTACACTGGCTTCCGGTGGCCTTCCGAGTGCGCTTCAAAGTGTTGGTTCTTACCTTTAAAGTGCTCCATGGCTTAGGACCTGAGTACTTATGAGACCACCTGCTGCAACCGATAACCTCCCACCAACCAATACGCTCTCACAGAGTAGGCCTACTCATAGTACCATCATTAAAACAATGTCGTCTAATAGTTCCAAGGGAGAGAGCCTTCTCTGTGGGGGCACCTACTCTTTGGAACAAAATACCCCCTGGAATATGAATAATCCCAGATCTTCGCACTTTCCGACGTGCCCTGAACATCTGTCTGTTTCAACAAGCAGGGCTAGCATAAACATCTAAATTCTATGCCAAGGTCTTAGCAGATACACCAAGTTGACTCAATTTATTATTTACTGTTTATATTAAAAAAAAAATTATTATATGTATATGAAATCTTAATCTGTTCACCGCCCTGAGTCCTTCAGGAGAAGGGCAGTATAGAAATTCAATAAATAAAATAAAATAAATAAATAAATTTAAACTTGGTTACATTCTGACAGCAGCAATCTATTTACAAACCATTACAGGCTAAGTAATTGGATTATTTTTTTATAACAAAATTTACATCAAAATAATTTATAGTATTTTCCTATAGTATGAAAACAAGAGTGCAACGCAATATGGGAACATGCTGAAGAGGAAATAGGCATTTACAGTATCTACTCATCCAAATCATTAATAAAAAAGTTGAAGGCTGACTTTGTGGAATCCCACTTCTTAGATTAGGTCATGCAGTCCATACTGTCACAATTTGCAATTTGTGTTTATTTATGTTGGGAGATGTCACTTAAACTTAAAGCAAGAGAAATTGTAATTATATGAAAACATACTTCTAATGATTTATATTACAGGTAGTGATAAAGAAAATAATGTCTTTAACAACTATTAGCAACTGTTGTTCCAACTACTAATGCTAACTATAGAAAATGTAGCATGCTTGTCTATCAAGATATTTTTAACAAAACAAAAATATCCCTTGAAGGCAGTTTATAAGGGTTTCTGAAAATGCCTTCATGGTTGAAAAGCTTCAATAAATGGTATTGAAAAATCACTTATGATTCAGCAAATGCACCTGAAAAGCCTTTTCTATTGTACATGCTTTGATCTTTTGTTTGTATACACTGTCATCTTTTTATCGTCCATGATGAATACCTAGGCATGAACAAATATTTTCCACTCTTGTGAACAACTTCATTCCTTTTACATGAGTGGCACTATCACTATGTTGATAGAGCGGCTCTAAAATAAGTACTTACGTAAAGCAAAATACAGGAAAATATTACGTCTCTCTACTTGCTTCCAGCAAATTCCTTACAGAATCCTACAAATCTCTCAGCAGAAAGGATTCGTTTGGCTTCCCCAAAGATAACATAGAAAGTGAATTTTGAACGATCACTTTCCAGAAATGATATTAAAAGTTAATTTAGATGTCAAATCAATTTTATTTTCTAATATTATTTTAATCATTTGACATGATGAACAACTTGGATTTTTTAAAAAAATGAAGTGATGAATAAGGAGAGGGTTTTTTTTGTATTAGATATAATTATGGAATGTTTTGCTTGCTTGCTTGCTTGTAAAAGAGGAATGAATAGTGTCTTGATTTACATTCTAAACATATAGGAAGCACAGCTGCTTTCTAGTCCATTGTTGGTTTCTTGAGTTAACCCCCTAATAACACTGATATTAAAGCGGGAAGGCATTAGCAGTTTCAGAGGAGCAATTCTGGAGGACAGTTTGTGGCAGCCATGCATTCATAGAAATGACAAAACAAAACTATTTTTCATTCTGTTATTAATGAAACAATTGAAACAATTATCACACTGGTAGAGTATAAGATATGAAGCAGAGATAACAAAAGATATTTTGAAGGAGAACAAAAGCAGCTGGTGAAAGACGACTTGGGGAGAAGGAAGTCATGATCTAATGTGTGTTTATAATTAAATCTGCAACTCCTCATATTTCTAAGCAGGAGGGATTTGAAAAAAGATGACTGGTGCAACAGTTAAATAAAAATGAGGCTTAATTAGTTAGGAAGATGTCAGGATGGAACATTTGCCAAGCGACAGAACAAAACAATTTCTGACATTTACATTCCTAATTAGCAGATGTTAATAATATCTTCCACTAAACTGCATTTCACTTAGGATGCATCCAAATTCAGACAATTTTTAACTAAAAAGTTGAAACAATCCCATGTATAGGAATATAAATTCACACACAGAGAAAGCCACATCCCCCCGCAAGAATAGGTTCAAACAATGATAGCGATATACTTCAACGATCATAAACAGCATGTCACTAAAGTTTAGCTGCTATGAAATTACAGTTATTGCCCTCCTATTCCTAGGGTGTGAATGTAACCACTCTGTGAAGATGGTTCATCTTTGACCTGATTTAAAACAGCATTTTTATAAATGTGTGTTAAAATACAGTCCTCCTAGATGTTATTAACAGACTTTTGAACCAACATCATGTGAGATAGACCGCATCGCAGCAGTCCAAATTGGAGGTGACAATAATCACCCCTTCTTTGTGGGGGAATAGAATAGAATAGAATAGAATAACAGATGGAAAGGACCTTGGAGGTCTTCAAGTCCAACCCCCTGTTTAGCAGGAAACCCTGTACCATTTCAGACAAATGGTTGTTCAATCTCTTCTTAAAAACTTCCAGTACTGGAGCATTCACAACTTCTGGAGGCAAGTTGTTCCACTGATTAATTGTTCTAACCATCAGGAAATTTCTTCTTAGTTGTAGGTTGTTTCCATCCATTGCTTCTTGTCCTGCCCTAGGTGCTTTGGAGAATAGCTTGACTCCTTCTTTGTGGCTTAACTCCATTTTCTTTGTGGCAATCCCATTCAGGATCACACTTGGTGAATTTCCAAAACTAAGGCATTCATTATAGCCACCTATATTGTTAAAGATAATCCAAAACCTGTGATATTTTTCTACTTATCACTGAAACTGATGGTTGTTTTTAACATCCATGCTTCTCTTCTTAACCATTTCCTACTCCCAAGTCAGTTTTCATACTTTTGGTGGTAGACTGTGCTGTGATTGCTATTGACACTGCCTTCTCCTTAGTCTGCTGATCTCAAAGTTAACATAGCAGAAATCTCACACAATTTTAAAATAAAATGTACTTTGACATAATCTTGGCAAGCCATCAGATGTTCTTGGGACATGCAGTTCATGTGGACACAGATACTTCTGTCCCTGTTTCAGGATCCACACTGATCACAAAGTCAGTGTATGATTGAATTTAGCTATATCTCATAGTTCTAAATATGCATTACTAATAGAGCTCTGCTATACTAATTTGACCGAATTGTTAATGAAGTGCCTTCTGGTTTGTAGAATCCAAATTTTGTCAGATTAATACTTGGAATGCCATGTGTCAATTTGTCTGTTATTTTCTCCTGAACATCTCTGGCTATAATGAAGCAATGCTCATCCTAAAGCATAGCTTACAAATTTGGGAAAAACAGTAAAAAGGAACATGAAGAATGACAAAATTATCTGTGGATTTATATTTCTTTTTAAAAATAAATTTTATTGTGTTTATAAACGGTATAAATAATGACATGTGAGAACAAAACTTTTAATTCTAGAAGAAAGTAAACAGTAAAAATAAGGGAAAGCCATTGTACAACATACACTGTAGAATTAACCTTGCATATGTTTCTCTGATATAAAACTGATATTATATCTGTACACATGGTTACAGTTCAGTTTTTAAACCATGAATTAATCCTATACCATATCAAGCATACTTGATCTTATTCTTATCTTTTGATCAACACAAAACCAATTCAAATGCCAAGAACCATCATATTTCATTTCAACACTGGAGACACATGACATACTGTATATAATGACCGTTTGGGCAGCAGTCTTAGGCACAATTTACCTAAAGATCATTATAAATTAAAATAATTCCAGATTTTTAGAATATAATTAATAATACATGGAGATCTTTTAACCTTAATTTTATTACAAGAACCTCTTACAAGAACGTTTATCTGCAACATAAAAAGGTAAACTTTTCTGAAGCTCTGTTGAAGTATCCAATATACCTGAAAAAGAATTAGGTGAATTAAATGACACACTTAACATTTCTTAGTATTCAAGACCATCAATTTTGCAATATGGACTATTCAAGTTCCTTATTCAGTATGTTTTTGCATATTGTCTAAATTTATGTCTTTAATATTTTAAAAGTTTGTATTGTATTATTGTTTTTGTTTTTATAAAAGCTTCAATACACTTACTCATTCTTAATATCAGACACTGCTAAGGTATCATGTTCAAACAAGGAACATAACAAATATGTTAGCTGTTCATATTCCACCTAGTTAATTGTATTATTTTAATAATTTTTCAAAAGTCCCCAAATGTTTTTTAACTGTTTAAAAGTTATTTTCTTCAAAATATTTTTCCTGTATTTTTTAAACAAGTATTGTTATATTAATTTCTTATCAGAACCAACATGGAATTTTAATGTTTTTTCCAGTAAAATCCAAATATATCTGACTATCTTGAATGACGGAAATTGATTTTTGTTTGAACCTAATTTAATACAATTAAATAAAATCTGTGATTATTTTATTTTGGAGAAGAAACACTTCGTTAAGTAGGATCACTCTTGTTATAGGAAATGTCAGCAAAAAAAAAAAAACATTTTAATCCTTGATTGTTTTTAAACTCTACTGAATTTAATGGCACAATCAAAGATAAATTTAATTTAGTACCACAGCCTAGTATTATTGAGAACCAACTTTCTATTTTAAACTGGATGTTGATATGTACCGTTTCCCTGAAAATAAGACATCCCCTGATAATAAGCCTAACTGTATGCGCCAAATAAGTCACCCCCCAAAAATAAGCCCTCCCCGAAAATATTTAAATGCAGAGCTGGAAATCAGGTAAGACGGCAAGAGGAGCCCCATCTTGTTCCACACGCCCCAAAATAATAAGACCTCCCCAAAAATAAGCCCAAGCACTTATTTCGGGGTTCAAAAAAATATAAGACAGGGTTTTATTTTCGGGGAAACACGGTATCAGATTTGCCATAGTTTATATTATATTTAGTCCCTATCATAGATTGTGCTGAATGTCTCAGCAGCTACTGTATGTTCTTCATTTAAACTTTGGTAAGATATCCTATTGTTCATCAATGCTATTTTGACTGCTATTAGTTATTAGCAACTCAGTTAATTATTAAAATATAAGTAGAAATGATAACTATATATATAAAATACTGATTTCCCTAATGTTCAGCTGCAAATTCTTTCACTTTCCATTCATTTTATTTCATTGATTTGTAATAACCAGGATCATCATTTCATTCACAAAGATAGCAAGGATACCTAAAGACCTGATATATATATGCATATTCTTTCTAGCCAGGTTTTACCTACGTAAGCTAGAATTCTAGCTAGAAAGCTAGAATTCTAGCTTTTATGTGCATATTCTAGAAAGAATATGCACATAAAAGCCTACAAAAAAGAAAAAGACATATATATATATATATATATATATATATATATATAAGCAAGTCTCTTTAAATTATCAAACAGAAATAAGATGGAAGAACCTCAGTAAGAGAAAAATGAGAAAGGAATCTAAGAACATTATGGTCCAGTTTTATATAACAAAGTGAAATGATTGAACAGTTTTGACACCTGTAACTTTTAGTGTCTATAATCAGAAGAAATAAAGGTAAAAAAAGATGAATCCTTCCTACATGTTTATAATCAAATAATGGTGGTTTGGGAAGCTACATCCATGAGATTAGAGCAAAACCATATCTTCCCAAATTTGTTTCTGTTTTTATTTTTTCAGTTCCCTGCAAATCTTCATACAGTTAACTTCTTGTTATTATGCTAAGTTGGGAAAATTATGTAATATTTAACCTGGCTCTATTACTTGTTTATCATTTAAAATATTGTCACCGAAAACAATGAACTGAGAAGAAGAATGAACTTGCAGAGATCGACTTGGCAGATGGGTGAACTGAACAATTGTCACTGAACTCATCTTTTCATTGATTCCTTCTGCAGATAGGATAACAAGCCAGTGAAACCATAACAAAGAAAATATGATTGTGCCCTGGCTGATTGCTAAGTACATAAAAAAGATATAGTCTTATGATATACTTACACTGTTCTTTCATGCCATTATGGACACTTGCATCCTGGAGCATGCAAAATCTCTGAATTTGGGACTCGATTTATTGTCAGTTTTACCTTGGGGGCGAAAAAAGTAAGAATGGTGTTAAAAAAAGTAAGAATTATAGTGTTATATCTTACAGTTTATCTTGTACTTTTGGGGTAAGATAATAAACAATTTTTCAGATCCAATCAGCATGCATTTCTATAATAAACACTGGAGATGAGAAATGTATACAATTCTGATGATTTAAGCCTGCAACAGCAATGAATTTTCTTGCCAGACAGTTTTATGAAGTTGTGTATCATTAGCATCTTGATGGAGTCCATGAAAAATATATTGGCAACAAAGTCCTGAAATGAATAATTTCAGCAAGTATTTCAATGTTAAGACACAGAAAAGTAGATGAAAAAGCCAGGAATTACCACTGCCTAACAATGGGTTTAATTCTCTATCAGAGTGATTTTAAAATGGTGATAAATTTAACGTACAACTTGTGGGATGACGGGAGATAGAAAGGAATGTTAGCTTGTTTCTTGCTACAAACAGAAACAAATTGTAGGCCAGCCCTGCGTCTAGAGATTTATTTCTAGTTTTAAAAAACAACAAATTTCAGTTTGCTGATCCTCCTCACCAGGAGTTAGAATATTCTGGATATTTCACATAACCAGTTTATGTCTTGTTGCTGATAATAGTGGTGGTATTTAAAAAGATTTAAGTTATTGAAAGGAACTAGTTTGACAAAAAAAGAAACCCTTTTAGTTTTTACTATGCTTGTTCATTGTCACTTTATTTCTAAGATCAGGCTTAAATTTAAAAGGGACCCTATGGCTAATGAAACCAAGCTGGGGAGGTGAATGGGGAGAGATGGGTGATACTTGATCATTTACCATCTGGCTTGATATTTTTAATTGTGGATTAGCAATTTATAAGTGGATAGATTGGGCAAAATATCTAATGATAATTTTGCATAAAAATCTTTTTATTGCTTAGGGCTAAGCTTTACATCAATTGCTATTTCTTACCTCCTTTCTTGTGGATCTACTTATGAACCAAAAGATTTCATCCATATCTTTGATTTGCAAGTCATTCACAGCCACTATATAATCTCCTTGATGAAATATGCATCCTAAACGATATGGGTCTTTCCACTGAGAAATGCTGCAGTAAATTAGAGAAGGGACAAACATCAGACATTTTAGATTTCTTATTAACCTGATCTGGAAATGAACAGAGAAAATCACTTTAGACCACAGTTTTAAGGGTGCATTCCTTTACTGTTGGCAATTTTTGCTGAAGTTGGTGGGATCTGATCATGTTGAATTTTCATTGCCCAGCACATCTGTCAGGCTGGCATTAAAAACGTTAGAAAATTGAATGATTCTGAGAACTGTTTATTTATTAGGACCAGGAAGAGCAATTAATTAAAAGTAAAATTGTCTGAAACTGAGGAGTGGAAGGCTATTACTATATTAAAATATTCCACACCAAGCTATTATACAGTCATATACCAACCCTATTGTGATCTTAATATCTTGCAGGACACTATACTTCAATAGGTTCCAAAAATTAGCAGCAGAAAAGAGAACTTGATGCTCAATGAATGAACTGGGAGCAGCATTTGCTTTTGTGCGTGTGTGTACGCGCGCGCATGTATGTGCGTGCACAGGTGTGTGTGTGTGTATGCGTTATTAAGAGAAGTCAGTCCAAGAACAAACAGAAGATCTATTATGCAAAGATTTAAAATGATTATGGATCCAGAAGTTGATTTCTATTTTATATCAATTAATTAATTAAAAAATCAGACATACCTTTCTGAATTACTATAAAGAGTATCAGGTATTAAACCTCATATTAACTCTATGAGATAGACCAAGTTATGAAACATGTTCCTCAAGAAATACTTAAATTCTACTATATTGATAGAGGCCAGGTTAAATGCTGGCTGGGGGAATTCTGGGAATTGAAGTCCATGTACTGTAAGTTCCTGAGGCTGAGAAATAGTGATTGAAGGTCTGATAGTGTTTTTCCTTTCCTAGTTTTTATATCCAAGAAAGTCAATGCAGGGTCACTTTCGATTTCTTTATAACAACTTCCTTTTTCTGTTCTTAATACATGTTATTCTACCACAATCCTAATGGAGAGCTTTGGATATTATTAATCTCCTTTCCATTTTATTTTTTGGATCCTTCCTCCTTTTGCCAGTCCCTGATATGATGGGCCAGTGATTGATACTGATAGGGCTCTTTGCCTGTCAACACCACAAAGTGGGTGGGAAAAGGGATATTCTTCAATGTCCAAGCCTTCAATATGAAACATACAATTTCCCATTTGGTTTGAAAAGAAAAGAAAATAGATAAAACATGTGATACTAGAAGCTAGCCATTTTGTTTGTAGCTAATCAAATTTCCTATTCATTTTGTTATTCACTGATATCTGAAAGTGGCTGCTAGACTGATGGCAGACTCCACCACCACCACCACCACTCCGCTCTGCTCTCCAGCCGTTCATCTTTTTTGTTATCATATTGATGCATTCTTGTGTGCTTTTCCATTGCTTATTTTATTTCTTTATTGTTTTATTTCTGTTCTGTTTACACCCCTTTCATTTTCTTCCTTTTTATTATTGTAAGCTGTCTAGAGCATCCCTATGGCAAGATAGGCAGCAAATAAATTTAACAAATAAATGAATGAATGACCTATACATTATTAGTTATTAATCAGGTGTAGCATGGCAGGCTATGAATGATTAGAATCTAAAGTTGTAGGATCTTGATAGTTTTATTAATACATTTTTCCCACAGCCTCCTACTTTTGATGAAGTTAAGCAAGCAATGCAACAAAGAAAACCTGTTACTTAATGTTTTCATAATTTGGAGAAAGATTGTGGTAGAGAAAGTGTGACACCTTGTGGTTTACCAAGGCAGTAGAACTTTAAAAACTTGCCAGGTTTTTTTTTTTTTTTAATTTTATCCTGGGTGTCTATTGTGGGAATAATGACCAACCCCATATTAGGCCTCTGGCATTATTTTCTGCCAGTTGAATTTACTTTAATACTGATCATAAAATATTCAAGAGCAACAATGCAATCCAGGCAGCCTGGATTGTACAGCTCTTTGGTCCACCAATTTGGTCTCTTCATATGTTTGTTCTCCCTGAGGCAAACTCCTCAATTTCCTTTTACTAGTATCAATTCTGACGCTATGAGATATAAATACAAAAACTATTTACTATGCATTGTCTTCAGAATTTAAAGGGAAATGTTTTTGCATTTGAACAACTGTTTTCACATGTTTTCCAAGTTACTTTTTGATTGTTAGAAAGATCTGTGAAATCTATTATAATTTTCTAAGATCCACCAAATGGTAGCTGGAGACCTTATGATAACTATGAAAGAGAATGCAACTGCATACATCTTTAATCCTGCAATTTCTTTTCAGCACAAGAATTGAGTGCATAGTCTTGATGCTTAAAGTTATACATTTTAATTTCCATGTCTTAATTATCTACATAACAGCTCCATGAAAAAGTCTTCATTTTCCAAAGATAAACATTCCAGTATTCCAATGTCTTTTGGCAGGATTTAGTTTCCAGACAGTGTTTATCTTTGTTTTCAGGAAAGGGGGAGCTCTTTTTATGAATCTATTTCACTTTGTTTCAATTCTTCTTAAAGGAATAATGATGCCCTGTTGATTAATTAAATTCATCTTGCCATAATTTGCTGCAGGTATATAATCAGTCTGAGATCATATCTACAAATCCTTTTCATTTCAAGCTGTATTCCTTTGCTTCTTATAAAATTTGTCTATTTTTCCCCTTTGAGAGACTTAGAATCTATGGCTAGACTAGTGTACGATAAGTGTAATAAATAACAATGTTAAAAAGCATGAAATCTTAACATTTTAAAAAAATAAAGGCCATAAAATTAACTTATAAACAGCAGTTCAAATTAAAAGAATTAAGAACTAATTAAATAATTAAAATGAAAAGAGCTACTTTATAACTTTAAAAAGAATTTTATAAGGTTCTTTGGCAAAACTCTACAGAAAGACCTGAAAGATTTTTTGTAATGTTGGAACTATCTAATCAAATTAATTGACTTTAGTTAATGAAATTAAAATCTCAACAGACGATGAGTACCTGACTAGCCTTTTCGGGACTTGCAAATTAAATTAGGCTGGATTGTGGAAAAGAAATCTCAAAGGAATACCAATCCTGTATGACTGAGAAGTTGAGGGAAAAATACCTTGAAAAATGGCAGTCATAAACAGTTTCCACAATACTGCCAAAAAGCAGCAGTGTGGATTTGTCCATGAATTCACCAAAAGTTGGACTCCAAAAGTCACCAAAAGTGACTTTGCTATTTTTAATAGTTAACCAACTGCACATTAATTAGTTGGAGCTGTCTCTTGTGAAAGAATATTTGGTGATGACAAGATGGCATTACTAAAAATAACCCATGCATTTATTTTGGCTTGACAGCATATTAATTATGATAAAGCAACATATTTAGTTAAGGCAGCAGGAGTCTTATCAAAGTCCCCTCAATGTAATATTTGTTGAAAAACTAATTTGAATTTGATCATTTAGTTGGCTGATTCATTACGCAAGTAGTTAACACATTCCTGTCTCCCAAAACAATTCAGCTGATTGTTTTTTAGAAGTTTAAATAACAAATGCAATAAATAATTTATAAAATATAAATAAAAGACTTTACCATATGCATCCAGAAGCTTTTACAAGTGTTAAGTAGGAAATAAGATTATTCTGGGGAAGGAGAATATCCACCTGCTCCAACTGGTTATCATCTGTGATTTTACTGAAAGAGAGGATGAAATACAATATTTAGAGCTGTCTGATCACAACATATACCATTTCAAGCTATTGCTATTCATGCTCATTCTTAAGATAGAGAAACATATACTGTAAGCAATAGTAAGAGACTAGATTGGACTGGGAAATATCCAGCCAGATATGGTTCAAATCTGCAGCAAACAGATTTCAATAGTCCTTTAATTTTGCATATAGTTGGATTTCCACCCGCTCCCATATTTTTATTTAAAATCCTATCTTTCCAAATTCCAAACAGCATTAATATCTCTTTCTCCTCTTGGATATGGCAGGAGTACAGGATGCTGTCAATTTGACAGTGTCAAACCAAATACAGATATACAATTACATGTCACAACCAAAGAAAAGGCATTCAGTAAGAAGGAAAAATTGACCCATTTTATTTCTCCTCTATTTCTCTTAATAGGTAAATAAAGGAGCAAATTTATGCTTTGGTGAATTCATTGAATAAGATGATGGAGAGATATAGTTAAACATTACTTCCTGATTCACATAATGGAACAACATGCTAACTTAAAAATTTTGTTTATTAGCTACCAATGTGATGTTTATCCATTTAGAATTGGAACAATTTGACAAGAGCCTTGGTAGTACAGTGGTCTAAAGCACCCTGTTATTAAGACCAGCTGCCTGCAATTACTGCAGGTTTGAATCTCGCCAGGCTCAAGATTGACTCAGCCTTCCATCCTTTCTAGGTAAATTGAGGACCCAGTTGTAGGGGCAATAAGCTGACTTTGTATAAATATACAAAAGGATGAAGGCTATTGCTTAGCGCATTGTAAGCCGCCGTGAGTCTCCGGAGAAGGGCGGCATATAAATCAAATAATAAAAAAAAAGGTTTCCTTTTAGATCTCAACATTTTACAGTCATGAAGGAAATGGATGTATTCAGAAGAAATTCTTACCTGAGAATAATGGACAATTGAACCACTGATAAAAAGAAGAGTTTGGGTGTTTTCCCCAATATTCTTGGTAACAGCTTTGGTTTGTGTTCACTATTTTCTGCCACTTGTATATCCATCTGATTTTGGGGAAGGATCACTAATTCCTTATTGACATCTTTTGGCTTTATTTTATTTTTCACCATTTCTGGAATCCTGAGGGACAGATTATATTAACCTTAAAAGACATTCAGGTCCTCAAAACTCTTAACCTCTGGACAATCAACTGAGAGCAACACTTGAATGAAAGCAGATCATGTAAAATTAAGAATAAATTTAGGATAATTTGGGTAAAGTTTAGCTTAAAAATGTGATAGTTTGCTCATTGACCTCATGGCCATAAGTAATGAATTTCTAAAGTCAGACTTCTGACATATATTGAAACTACATTAAAGTAGTACACTGAAGTGTTTGGAAATAAACTTACTTATATTGCATTGTTCTGCTTTCTGATTTTTTTTCCCCCAAATTTGAAAAGTCTTAATGAATTTTTCTTTTTCTGGGCCTTCACATATTTAGGGATCCAGAATTTTATTTGCTTCTTGTTCTAGCTCAAATAATTATGGGTGATTCCATATTTGGACAGCCTTTAAGTCAATGTTGACTCCTGGTAACTTCCATTACTTACTTCAAATATTGTTATTAATAAACTTTAAATACTATGTTACACCATACAGCAAACCTCAAGGTCACATACTTCTTTTCTTGATTGGCCATAAGGAAAAACTTAGACTATTTTATTAGCAGGTTTTGCTTAAGCACAACTTGTTATGTCATTCTATCAACAATATGTAGTCAGCATTAAATACAGATTGTTTAAAACAAGCCTGCCTGAAATCCATTGATTGGATTTAACTCTGATTTGATGTGACGTTTGAATTTGGCTACTGTGTTATTTACAATTGTCTCATATACAGGCGTAGCAAAAGGAAACAAAGTGTGTAACTAGTGCAGAAACAGAATAGCAGTATACTTCTTTAGAAACTTATTGATTATGAGTTAAATATGTGATCAATATGCAATTAGAATTATTAGTAATAATTAGCATCATTCTGACTGTGCTAGTATTAATATCAGAAGTTAGATTTTACTTTTGGTACTGATCTCCAATCTTATGTCACTTTGAATTCAGGATATATAGTTAATCAAATGTTTACATACAGATAGTTCTTTTGAAATAGAATTGTAATATCAGCAAGACTGATTGTACATTTTCTGATGTAGTAAAGATTAATTTAAAATAGAAAGAATGTGCAAGAGGAACACAGGAGCCTAAGCTGAACCATGGAATTTCCCCCTACAGTCCTAATCTCCTTCTTCCTCGTCCAAATCTTTGACCTATCTCCCCAGCCCTCATACTTTCAGAATTCTCATTCTCTTCCCTCTCCTGATTATTTGCAACGAGCAATTAAGCAACAGAGAGCAAATCATTCAAAATATTTCTGAGCACGGTGGGGGATTTATTTCAGCACAAGAAGAGAACCCAGAAGGAAGTGCTTTGTGCCATTTTTTATAGGGAGAAAAGACCAGAATGGGACATCTCGGCATGAATAACTGAGGGCAGCCAGCTCCCGGCAACTCCCTTACCACCACCAAGTAGCTTCTGCCAACTCACTGCTGCCAAATCGTTACAGGACAACTCAATATGGGTAATTTACTGCAGGTAATTTACTGTGGGCACCTGGGACAACTTGCTGTGAATGTCTGGATGAAACCGGGTGAGTGGGCAGGCGAGTCAGTGAGGAGAGCCAGGTGGCCGGGCAGATGAGTAGGTGTACAGAGCACATAATGGTGGTGGCAGCTGGGGGCTTCCCATTTTCACATCCCTTCACCACTGCTGCTGCCACTGTGCGCTCTGACCATCTGCTCACTCACTTGCTTGCCTGCCTGTCCGGCTCTCCATCTGGGCACCACTAACGAGTTTCCTCCACAGTGAAAGGCCCATGTTGTTGTCCTGCAACAACCTGGTGACAGTGAGTTGGCAGAAGCAACTTGGTATTGGCAAGGTAGCTGCACCTAGCTGGCCATCCACAGCTGGCTGCACCAAGTTGTTCTAAATCTGAAACAACTGTATTGTCCATATAGGGGACAACAGGAACCAAGCACTTCCAGTAGAACTACTATATAGAGGCTACAACAAAAAAAGGATTTGACTTTCTGTCATCGATTGCCATTCTGGTTTTGAAGCCAATTCTGGTGTCCTTACCTGCAACATGCATAATCAGGAGAACTTTTAAACTATTGCACTTAATGTTAACTTTGAGTTTGCTACTCACATGGGAAGAAAGTTGTAAAAGAAATGTGTAATATTTGTTTCAGGAGAGAAACATCTTATTGCTAGTATACTTACAAATCTTTCATGGACATGTATTCTTTAGTGCTACTGAGCTTTTCATTGTCTGGGATGCAAGATTCTCCCAGAGTATTAAATCCATCAATCACCTCATCCAACTTTGAAAATAAATGATGTAAAATTAATAAATGCATGTCTTATACACTGTTTATATACAAGTGTCATCAACTAAATTTAACAGTTTCTAGATTTGGATTCTGCTATTGTGGGAATATTGATACACTCTATCTGGCTAAAGCTAAAACTGTTTCTTAGTAGTGAAGCAAAATAAAATAGTAATTGCTTAGTAATCAATTTAGTTTCTAAAAAAATATCATCTTAGAATAGGGTTTAAAATCAAAAATTTTTCTCAAAGTAGTCCCTAATGAATCAGCATTATATATACTGTATATCACAGTTGCTCTCTATGGAATTGCCCTTCAGATGACAAATGAGTGACAAAGAAAAACAGTCCTATTTTTTTTCTCCTTTATGGCGCAGGTATTTTTTTCTCATTTATGGTGCAGGTAATGCTTAAATTTAATAAATTATCTGGGATCATCTTCAACATAGATGGAAGATGTATCCATGTATTAACATAAGCTACATTGGGGAGTAAAAATCTACATTTGAGATGCTAAAGGAGACCACAGACAAGTGTGTGTGGGGGGGGAGGCAGGAAAGAGGGAAGGAGAGAGAGCGAGAGAGAGACTGTTTTGTTCTCTTAGATCTTAGCTGCATTCACCAAAATTAATCAAAACATTATTTTGGACTACTCATAAGAGTTGGTGATATGGAGCATTGTGTTATAATGGTTCAAAATTTTCTGGAGTTGATTATTCCAATTGGTGACAACAGGAGAAGACAAATTGGGGCATTATAAAATAGGATGAAGGTCTTCAGATGTTTATCACTTATGATTATAACCCTCCTAAATTGGTTAAGCAGCATACAAATAATTACATAAATAATGAATGTGTGGATAAATATTAAATGTTGTATTTATTTATGCAAACATCTTTATTGTGCATACTCCATGGCTAGCCTAATCAATAACACAGGAGAGCATGCCATTCTGCTTACCTGAGCTAAAAGACTTGTTGGAGAAGCATAATATTCTTCTTTGTCTTTTTCTTCCTGTCCTTCAACAGGAATATTTGTCAGTTCCCTCTAAAAAAATAATTTAATTATTCTTTATTCAATAACATTTGAGAATGTTATTCTCAAATAAATAAATGTTAGCTACAAAAGAAAGAAAACCCCCCAGCACAAAACAGTGAGCATTCTTATTAGAAAATCAGAAATGAAGTTCAGAAAATGAGGTCACTGATTAAAATATATTTATATATTAAATGGTGGGAAAACAAAGCCAAATTAAAACCCCTCTCTGCTTTTGGTACATATTTGTCTATTAAGTACAGTAATAAGAGCTGTTGATATAATTTTAAAAGACAGTACATGTAAAATGCTCAGATACCTACTGAACATTATCAAGCTAATGCATAGATCCCATACACATTTATTTTGTATAGATAGTCTGACCAAAAGGTAAAACATCTGCATACTGCATTATTTTACTAATCATTCATTCATCAATACTAACTGTCAAACATCAGCATATTTGGAGCTTCACAAGAGTAAAAAGAATCAGAATTAGAGTAACAATTGGTTGGTTGGTAGGTAGCTAGGTAGATAGGAAGGAAGGATGGAAGGAAGGAAGGAAGGAAGGAAGGAAGGAAGGAAGGAAGGAAGGAAGGAAGGAAGGAAGATAGCTTGTGAAATTATTTCCCTTATTGCAAATAATGAAATATTATTAACAAATATTTCAGATAATCCGGATGTCCAGTATCAGTTTTTGAACTCACCAGGCGTTGTAGGAGTTTTCTTGGTGACTCATAAATATGTAAATCTTTCTGGATTTCTTGACAACTAGGGTCTGAGTTAGGCCTTTTTTTATAAGCTGATGCTGCTATGTCCTATGTCCCAAAGAAAATAATTAATCACTAAATGGCTTTATTTCAAAGTGCTTAATTAACAGTGATAGCTAAAAATCTTAATATAAACAGACATTTTTGCTTTAATTTCCTTTTAATATGTTACAATTGTTGAAGAAGAAAAGGATAAATTTAAAAAAAAAACCTATGCTTTATCACTAAGGAAATATTTGTCAATGGCATAGCCAAGACATTCTGTTAATATTGAGCATAATGTGGAAGAAGAGATGGGAATTTTTTCTGAAAGCAATGTTTCTCAATCTTGGGGACCTTAAAAATTGCATATTTGGAACTTCCAGGATTTTCCAGCCAGCATGCTTGGGATGCTACCCAGTTGATGATTTTGGCTGGTCTCAGATAAGAAAAAAAAATTGTTGAAAGAAAAGATCAGTGATGGGATTCACATTTTTTTACTGCCGGTTCTGAGGTGTGGCTTGGTGGACGTGGCATGGCATGGCATGGTGGGCTTGGCATGGTGGGTGTGGCAGGGGAAGGATACTGTAAAATCTCCATTCCCACCCCACACCAGGGGAATGCAAAATCCCCATTTCCTCATGATCAGCTGGAACTCGGGAGGCAGAGAATAGATGGGGGCGGGGACAGTCAGAGGTGGTATTTAACGGTTCTCCGAACTACTCGAAATTTACACTACCGGTTCTCCAGAACTGGTCAGAACCTGCTGAATACCACCTCTGGAACAGATATGCAGTCCTTGCTTTATTTTCATGCCACCTCAAGTATTGAATTAAAAAAATCATAAATATCTAGAGTTATCATAAGAATGGAAGAAAGTCTGATCGAGTAAATCACTCCCAAAACTCCTAAAACAAGCTAATAATGACTAATTGTGCTTAGTGGGAATATAAGAGTAACTATTGAAGACCCAGTTGTGGGGGCAATAAGCTGACTTTGTATAAATATACAAAAGGATGAAGGCTATTGCTTAGCGCATTGTAAGCCGCCCTGAGTCTCCGGAGAAGGGCGGCATATAAATAAATAAATAAATAAAACTATTGGGAGAAAGAATGAAGAATGAAATCAAATTTCTTAAGAGACAGTATTTCTGGACCTTTTAATATCTTGTCCCTTTATATTAAATAACTGGGCTTGCAATTAAAGTGGATACGTTTATAAAAGTCTATAAAATTAAACACTTACTTCATATTTAGTGCCAAGACACTGATCCTTTTTGGTGGTAGAGGTAGTATCCAAGTCATCAAGACAGGCTGGGACAGATTTGGACCGACTTCTGACTGTCAGTTTCTGATTCAAAATTTAGGCAACAAACTTTATATACTTTTACATAAATCGTAACAATTGTTTATCATAACAGCTGAAGACATGTTTCTGCAAGCATTTGAGGACAAGTGGTATGCAGGATATCTTTTAGGCAGATTATTCGTTGTTACTTGTTCCTGTTTATTTTATACGTTTCCTTATATTTTTAACCAATTTACAAATTACTTGAGACCCACAAAAATGGGCAGTGTATAACCTGTGTTATAAATACATTGCTATATTCTTTCTTTGAAACTGCAGATGCCCATAATTAGAATCCACATTACATTACATCCATCTAGGGTGGCAAGTATCTTCAGAAAGTTATGCAAAAGTTAGCAAAGTACTACTTGCTTGTTTTATTGTATTCATTGTAATTTAATCGTCAAATGTTTTGCTGTGTTGAAAATGTCCAAATTGTCTTTTCTAGGTGAAGAGGCATTACTTTGGGATATAAAATTGCACTATTTATCTATGAGCTCTTGCTATTAAACATTTTGTGACAGGGGTCATTGTAGCTGATCAGATAAGCCTTTTTCTGCCTTGGTGCTTTTCTGGAAACAATGCAAGGATTGTGTTGCAAGGCTACAATAGTCCCAGGTGTTCTGCCCTTTCATTGAAGATTCAGCTCTTTCCCAGGGAAATTGATTAACACTTTAACATGTTAGTTCTTGGGTTTTCACCTTTTTTTTTTTTTTTTTTTTGGCCACATTGTATGTTATTTTAAATTGTATGCCACCCAGAGCACTTGTGCAAATGTGGTTTATAAGCAAACATAAAAGAAACAAAAATTTTCCCTTACTAGCAAAGACTCACTAGTAATCAGTTTTATGATTGTTCATAACATGTAAGATTGATGATTAGGTTTAGGCAAATCAAAACTTTATCTAGCACTTAAGAAGGTTGTGAAATTTAAACAATAGCCACCTATATATTCTTCTTATATTATTTAGTTCATGCTTTTCTGTATAACACAATTTATTGTTCTGAATAACACAAATTTATTGTGTTATTGTTTTTATGATTGATTATGATTGTTTCATAGTTGTTACCTTTGATTGTTTTATAATTATTGCTTTCATTGTTGTGAGCTACCCAGAGTTGCTTAAGATATACCGTAATTATTTTTTTCTCCAATAGCAAAGATGGATGTCCATATAAATCTTTTAAATAAATACAGTACAAGACTGTTTTATATTTGATGGGTTGTAATCCTGTCTTTTAAAATTGGACTTGGATCCCAAGTAAAAATCAAGAATTATGTAGATATTATCTTGTCAACATTCAGGAGATTAAGAAGCCCACTTTTCTCACAGAAAATTTTACACAGTAAAAGCAAAATGTAAATAGGGTGGAGGAAAATTGATTCACATTCTTAATTAAGGAGGAAGAACATTAAGTAAACTTGTCTTTAATGAAGGCAAATAAAAAAGAATGAGCTCATCATTATCAACTTCAAAAGTTGACAATGTTGTTTGTAAAAGTGACATTTCTTGAGCTAATAATTTGAAACCTGCTTCGGTAATCTGATTGCCTTATTAAAGCTTTTGGCAACATTTGCTAGTAAAAATCCCATTTGCTGTGCATTCCACATTTCCTTGTGAACTAGAATATGGTTGAAAAAGGATGAAGGCAAATGAAAATTAACACTTCAGCTTTTTCTGCCTCTCCAGAAACATTAGATATGGTATTTTAATAACATATACTTTTGGTGTAATTCAAAATGGCAAAATACAATATTAATTTACCTGTTTTTCTGAGCACAATGTAAACAGGAAGGTAGCCCATTCCTCAACTTCCTTGCTAGCGTTTTAAATGTTTTAAAATAGACAAAAGAGAAATAGACACATGAGTGAGGAATCAAAGTGTGTTGATAGGTGATTAACAGAAGTTAAAAATTAAGTCCAGATGATGTTCATAACCTTTAGCAATTCTCCCAGATGATGACTTCTGTTATTCTTTGCCCTTGCCTATGAATTGCAGAATTAATCAAGAAACATGCAGCAAGTTGCAGCACCTATCTGGGCTTGGGAATTAAGCACAATGGCTTGGAAGAGTGGAATTCCCTTGGATTTGGATGCTTGATTTGTAGGCTGGAATAAGAAATTGGGGGGAAAAAAATCCCGAAAGACACAGGAAAACCACTTCCATATTGTTGTCCAGTAAAACTCAGCCTATCTATGGAGAATCAGGGTTGATTTAAGAGATTTTAAATCTCTCCTCTTAAAAAGAAAAAAAAAGAAAAAGAAGAAGGTGAAGACCTATTTTGTTGTACGTCACTTGTTTGTGAGATTGGCAGCTATGTAAATTAGGTAATAAGTAAAGTGTAGTCATTTATGTAAGTAAGTATCTGCATTATCTTTTCATTTTTGTAGGAATAAATCATTGCTTTCAGCATCTATAAGGCAACAGATATTTGGAGACAACCCCAAGGATTTTTCAAATATGAACTGAATAGCCTAACAGGGCTCAAGGTGCTTTCAGATAAGAAACTTATTGTGTGGTTCCATTATTTTATGCATAAAATATTTTGAGCATAGGTTGAGCTCAGTTTTTAGCCTTCTTCTATTTGCTCAATGATTCCAGTGGTGTTTTTTATGTAGAATGATAGAGAGGAAAGATGATATTTTGACGGTGGGCTGTATGTTAACCTCAGACAGTTCCTGTTAATAAAAATTGATATCAGACTAACAATGGCAAAATAAGTTATGCTTTTCAAATGACTCCTATGCATGTTAATTTACAATTTACAATTTACAGCCAGAATCGTAAGTCAAAATTGTAAAACAACCAATTTTATGACCAATTTTATTAATTCTGTTAAGTGAATCACCACAGTAATGAAACAAATCCATGGTTGTTAAGTAAATGTTGCAGTCATAAGGGCAAACCTATTCTTCTAAATGGGCATTTTTTCTGGAAACTAAACATAATACGGTTGCATTTTTTTTAAAGTATAACTTTTTTTTCTCCCATAGCGAAAAAGCAGTGCAAGTCCGAACTTTGATAGTTTTCAAAGGAGCCATGCAAAATATTTCACTAGAATTGATTTCATTTAAGAATTAGCTCATGTTTCTCTTCTCATCATAGAATTTCCTCTATTTCCTCTTAGAATAATCCCTAATTATGAAAAAGATCTTTCTCTTTTCTTCCCTTCCCTTCCGTCCCCTCCCCTCCCTCCCTCCCTCGCGCTTCCCATAACTGTGAGTGAGTGTTCTCCATAGTTTGCTCTTCTCTTTTACAGCTCTAGCTACAAATCTGGAAAATCTAACTTTGTCATAAACATTATTGAACTATGCCCACCGCAGTTAATATCTCTCTTCTATGCAAACTGCAGAATTCAGAATAATGGTCTGAAATTATAGGGAGGCAGATTACATTTGAACGCTAGAAAATACATCAATAAGAGCAATTTCATAATACATGCAGGTATCAAGTTTGTAAAATACCTCCTTCATTGGATGTGTTTAAACACAAAGTCATACCCCAAAAATGTTTTAGTCTGAGAATCCATTTTTAAAGTTTGGGTGTTCTTGTTTTCCAACATTATAACAAATTAAGACCATGGCCCATAAAAGAATTATGAACTTACCTATCTCTTCCGATAAGGTAAAATATTCTATTCTCTGTACTGATACTCATCACTTCAGTGGACTGGCACTTGAACATCTTTTTCACAACAGACATTTTCTCAAAGTCACCTATGCCAATTTCTATTTTTGAAGCCCTGTCAAATAATTATAAAATAGGTAAACAAATATTATAAATTCTTCTTAGATATGAGAAGAAAGTCTGTAACTTATATCTGGTATAGAAAATTCCTGCCCCAAGAAGTTCCTAAGCAATCAGTAGAGCTATCATACCCATGCTACAAAACCCAGGCAAACATTAAATAGTTCGTCACTCTTTGCTTGTGGTCAGATACAGTGATTATAGAATCAGGATTGTGCCTTCACAAAAAGGAGCCCTTTATGCATAATCATATATAATCTCTTTTCACAAATACACACAGTCAGTAAGCGACTAAACTCATAGCAGCTCTATAACACCCATTTATTTTAATCATGAAAAGTGTTATTTGGCTTTTCCCTTCCAATTTCATCTCTAATATTTACTTAGTTATTATATGCTGCCTCAATTAAACAACAAATAAAAGTAACTTAGATGTTAGGAATAAAAATGATGATAATGATCCTACAGAATAAAACAAAACCTAGCCAAGCTTATTAAACAGAGATTCAGTATCAGGGACTGTTTCATCTTGTGCTGGCAGTTATGGAAGAACTAGATTTTTAAATATTTGTGGAACAGGGTTAGGACTATAAAGAATTGGGGATCAGGGAACTGTGACACAGGGAAGGTGCATCCACATATCATATAATGTAGACCAGGGAAAATTGCAGCAACATTTATTATTTAAGCATCAGAAGTGTTGTATTTCACTAATAATTCAGTTAAAATAACCTATGGCACACTTGTTCAAATACTTACTCATTGATTTCAATGTGGCCCTTTATTTGCTGGCCTTTATGATAGGTCAAGATGTAACCATTTTGGGCAGAATGAGAAAGAATAAAATATCTCTTTTTCCAGGAAACCTACAGAAAGGGGAAAAATCAAGTTCATACATATAGTAGAAAATCAACACATGAGGAATGTATTTTGATGATGATGATAACAAAGCTATCATTTTCCTAACTGTACCTGATTATTAAAAAGGTGAGGTGGTGGTGATTTTATGAAGAAACCATGCTTGTAGACACTGCAGTCACAATTTCCTAAGAAAGAAAAACAAAAGCTTATGTTTTATAAAAAGAGATTGCCATTCCTACACAAATACTAATGCTAAATGCTGGGCAGCCAAATTTTGGCCCTGAAGTATCATCAAGCCATCTCTCTTTTTCTCACTTACTGTCCACCTGTTTTAAACATATATGAAACAAAATAGTAAGTGCAATAAATAAGGAATGGCATTCTGTATTTTTTAAAAAAACGAACAGCTACAAAAGATCCTGAATATGTCACTACATTGCAAATACTTCCTAGAAGATGGGCGATAAGCAAAGTGTATATTGGAACAAAGAAACAAAGAATATAACAAGAGACCCAGAAAATTAAGAGCAATTTTGGAGAAAATTAAAAAGAAGGTTCTAACCTCAGCATCTTTAAAATGTGTGAACTTCAAATTCCAAAATTCCCACAACCAGAATTTTCTACAGACCAAAGTGTACAGATCAAAATGTGGCTCAAGAAAAATAGAATGAAGGATACATAAATCATAAAAGATTAGAATAAGTTAATTAATTTGTGTAGCTTGGTATAATATTTCCTAAAAATGGGGAAATGACAAAGTGCATATAGGAATTTGTTTGCCAGAACAGAACTATACAGAAAAATACAAAAGATGGTGTTTATGCAAAGTAGCTTCATTAGGTTTCCTTTTATTTTACCTCATTTTAATTAGTGTTCCACACTATTGTTTACACTTGCATTTGCAAAATATTGCATACTCTGAAAATAGAAATAATATGATGTCTATATATGTTTGTGAGAACACTCCAAACACAGCACTGCCTATTGTATGATTTCCAATTGATTATATATATCAAAACAAAAAAAAGCATTAAATTTATACTGTAGTAAACCATATTAAAATACTTTATAAAAATATATATTTGGAAGGATAATGTATTACCTCTGTGATGGCAAACCTATGGCATGCGTGCCAGCTATGGCATGTGGAACCATATTGCTGGGCACGCGAGCTCAGCTTTGGTGTGCACATGCTAGCTAATTTTTGGGCCTTCTGGGCCCACCAGAAGTAGGGAACCAGGCTGTTTCCTGTCTCTGGAGGGCCGGGGAAGGCCCATTTTTTTGCTCTCCCCAGGCTCCCCAGGATCCAGAGCCTGTCTAGGAACGTGGGGAGGGCAAAAACAGCCTTCCCATCCCCCCGGAGGCCCTCTGGAAGCCAGAAATGGTCCGTTTGCCAACCTCCGGTGGGACTGGAAGTCGGCAAATGAGCCGTTTCTGGCCTCCAGAGGGCCTCCGGGGGGTGGGGAAGGCTGTTTTTGCCCTCCTCAGGCTTGTAGAGAGGCTCTGGAACCTGGGGAGAGCAAAAAATGGGGCTACCGGGCCTACCGGGCCATTGCATGCCAAAAGCGGTGGGAATGTGGGGGGGTTGCACGCGCATGCATGGGGGCAGGTGCGTATAATTATGGGTTTGGGCACAGGCACGTACGCCCCGCAGTCCCCCTGCTTTTGGCACACAATGGCAAATTACCTTTTTGCATTGTGTGCCATTACTGTATTACCTAATCCTAATATGAGTAATGTAATATAGTTAAGCAATGACAATGGTTAAAAAAAATATATGCTGCTGTAGATACCATGATCTGAATCTGGATACAAATGAAAGAATGAGGAAGCATTTCTTGTATAAGCTCCTGTCATCCTCTGCACGATTCATTTTATTGATTACTATGATACTATTGCATATCATCAAGACCCATGAACAAGGTCAGAACTGGCCCGTTAGTTCTTGAAAATCAGAAGATAGCCTGAAGGATTTGTATGAAAGTGCAGACTACAGTTACAAGCAGAATTTCTTTTTGTTCTTAACAAAATTCTAGCAAATTGACCTTTTGGTTCATAAAAATGGTTAAACATGTTGAAATGTGCTTAGTATTCACAGAAAATTCAGAGCAGTATTTGAAAAATGTCAAGTAAAAATAAAAATGTACGCATATTGCTTTTTGATGAATAAGCACAACTCAGTGTGAATCAAACTCAGCCAGACCACATTTCTGAAGTGTGTAATAAATATAAAGGGTAAAATATAAAGCACGGACAAGGGCATTTTCTGCTTCATTGACTAATAGCTTATTGGAAGGAGCAAGACTTTAGGTATGAAAATCTGTTTCTAAGGTGGTTTAAGAATGTCCATGGCCAAATTCTTGATTAGGTTTGAAATGTGGATTAAAGTCACCTTGAAAAAAGAGTAGGAATATAACATGGTGGCTATAACAAATTGTTATAACTTTATAACGTTCTGACTGCATTCATTGAACAAGGCAAATATTGACAAATATCAAGTATCAAAAATGCTGTGAAAAGAAAAATCAGGCAAAAACATGTTTAGAATTTATGTACCAATACTAGTTCTTCTTGTGGAATCCATATTTGATTATTAGTTCAACCTGAAAAATAAACAAAGAATGAATGTATGTTAAAGATGAAGTTCACTGTTTCTCAAGGCTATCATAATCAAAGGATTTCTAGAAGACAGACCTTTTATTTTCAGGATTCACTAATTCACTAATCCTATTAATCTATTTAATACAAACAGAAACTATAACCATACAAAATATTATCAGATGGTAACCAATATTGTTTGTCAATCTTATTTAAATGTAAGTTACTCATATACTTGCAATAAAATAAAATGCTTTCATATGCCAAAACAAACAAAAAAACTCATATAGTTGTCAGTTTTCCCCAAAGGATGTGGTCTTTGCCAAGAATAAGAATGTGATATTTTATTTCTAATTTTCTTGTCCAGTAAGAACAGTTGCTATTTGGAATGTTGTGCAAAAAAAATAAAATACTGGGAGATTCAATTACCATCCTGGAACTTCAACAGAATAATAAAAAGCAACAAAAAGTCCCTTAAGATTAGAATTGTAAGAATTGCATTGATACAAGATTTGTAAGAAGGAAAACAGATTTAGGAACTGATATATAATACTGTTTAGCAATATATGAAATTCCTACTTTTCTTTCATCAGATAAAAACATTAATATTAACAAAATGAACAATTCAAAGGACATTAGTAGTATGCAAACAGATTTATTTATTAATAGGACTTCCCTTTTTTCCTTTTTGTCTTTTGCCTGAAAGACCCTTTAATCTGTTTAAACTATTTTGGAAAGCCTGTTTAGATGCAAAGGGGAGAAAAAATATAGTAAGTCTGCTAATAAATGCTACTTTGCTAGCAGGATTACAGTCAAAATGAAGATTTTCAAAACCGATTCTAACTTCTATGCTGAACAGAATTCATCATATTTTACAAATAAATTAGATTTGTCTGAAGAAATGAACCATGGCTTTTGAATGCTAGTGCCAAGATAAAAAGAAAAAAAATAGGACAATGTATTAAATTTGAAATATAGTCCATAATCATTGGAAGGTAACTCATGTGCAATTTTTTTCTCTCATTTCTAAGTATTTAGAAAACACAGTGCTTTTACTGAAGAGTACCAGGCAGATGTGATCTGTACACCAGTTATGTTTCAGGACAAGAAGAATTTCCTTCTTATTAGAATTGAGAATTTTGTGGATACATACAGTTGTTACACTGGAGTAAACTTTGTCTTGTTTTTCTCTAGAAAAAAATTCAGAACAGCAACTGTTCACTAAAAGTTCCATTTCTACAAGGAATTAACTAAAGAAAATTGCAGAGTTTTTTAAAACCCTATTTTATCATGAGATTAATCATTCACTGCACTAAAACCCTATTCCTCTTCCTCTTCATCACATCTGTGACTAGTGCATAACGTAATTCTTTGTTTGCAAGGATCGAAAGGAACAAACTTGATAGCAAATATCACTTCTTTATTCATTTCTGCTATATGAAGAATATATTTTACATTAACATCAGCCTACAAGAAAGGGGACCTAGAATGAAATTTATAATTGGGGATATCTTTTCCTCCTTGCCTTTACTTTCCAGGAAACTAGAAGTATTTTTCTGAGATGCTTACCATGTCTGCCCATTCTTTGTGGACTGAGATGTCTCTTATCTGACTATTGCCGAGCCAGTGGATCTTCATTCTCCTGACTTTCAAAGATATTCCCACAGACCATTACACATGCATGTATACATGCATAAATGTAAGGTAAAGGTAAAGGTTCCCCTCGCACATATGTGCTAGTCGTTCCTGACTCTAGGGAGTTCCTCTCTGTTTCAAAGTTGAAGTGGCAGTGCTGTCCGAAGATGTCTCCATGGTCATGTGGCTGGCATGAGTAAATGACAAAGGCGCACGGAATGCTGTTACCTTCCCACCAAAGGTGGTCCCCATTTTTCTACTTGCATTTTTTACGTGCTTTCAAACTGCTAGGTTGGCAGAAGCTAGGACAAGTAATGGTAGCTTACCCCGTTACATAGCACTAGGGATTCGAACCGCTGAACTGCCGACCTTTCGATCAACAAGCTCAGCGTCTTAGCCACTGAGCCACTGCATCCCATAAATGTACATATGCCCAATGAAACCTGTCTACAAGAAGCAATGCTACTAGTGATTAGTGGTGATCAGGAATGGTAACAGGTGAATTGTCCAGTGGGAAGATATTGTAGCCTGCTGCCTGGATTGAATAGGTTTCAAATTGTTGCCAAAATATCTCAGTCTGGCCAGGATTTTCTTAAATTGGTTTAGAATATAGCCAGTATAAGCACAGGGAAGATACAGATTGAGGGTGCAGGGCTACAAAGCTCTTTTAAAACTAAATATTTTGTTTCAGCTTTGTGGGGTAACTGCATTTTACATTCAAGATATTCAAGTGACATATATTCCATATTCTTCGAAATATTGGTTTTCTACTATTTTAAAATTAACCTTTGATGGTATATGCCTCTTGGGAGTGGAGGGATAGCTTCAGTCACAGATGGCATGATGTTCTTATTATTTCTACACCTATTTCTATTTATTATCTAATTAAGCCGATATACCACCAAAAACAACCAAGAAACACATTAAGTCTAGGAGAAGTGCTCAATCGTTCAATAAGTGGAGCAGAGCATACTTGAAAGAGCCAAAAACAAGAAATCGGTAGTTATCCTCCAATAAGAAAGAAGACAAAACTAAAATGCAAACCACTCTTAATATATTATTTAAAAGAGTATTCCAATTCAATCAAATATTTGTTTAAAGAATTGAAACAGAACCTGAGATGGGGAGGGGGATGACTTGCCTTGATAAAAATATTTATCAGATATTTATGAAAAAATTAACAAACAATTTAAGGTCTTATCAAAACAGACACCAGACTTTGCTCATAGAACTATTCAAGTTTATAATTACCTAAAAATGCATTCTGCCATGACAAATATGAAGAAAATATCATAGATGTTAAGATACCTTAGGTAGATGTTAAAGATTATAACATATGAAGCAGCATCTACATCAGCCATGTTAACAAAAAAGTTGAGAATGATACTATGATAGAGTATATCATATTGTAATAAAATAGGATCTAGTTTATATCTTTGCTTCACAAAGTTTCTCATAAAACCCATTATTTCACCATGAAAAATAGCAAATCATTATTTTATAGAGAATGGTAGGATATTATTGCTTATATAAGAAAAATTCATCCAGTTTGTATTAGAAATTATGGGAATGTTAAATTTACAACATCGTGTAAATCTAATTTCACTCTAAATATAATTTTGGTTGCTCCATATCTCCTAGTAATCCAATTATTATGTAATATTATATTCCTATTACAATAATGTAGTAGGCATTGTACAAAAATTATTTTCAAACTACAATATTGTAGATCTGAGCAATTCTGCTACTATTAAGGTTTATTATAAGTAAAGTTTGTTTTACTTACAAAATAATGATTTTTTAAAAATAAGACTGTAGATAAGCTAAAGGAAACATAAGTTACATTTGAATCTGGAGTTAGTTTGTCTTCTTCTAAATGGTAAATCTTTCAAAGTAAGTGCCAACTCTTAGTCTTATACAGCATACACCAAACAATATTAGAGTAAGCTAGTGTCATTTGTTTTATTCGTGCCATTTGTATAAATTTTATTGGGCTGAGGGATGGTAAAACACCTTAAAATTAAAGGATATTATCTTATGTATGTATATACTTGTGAATTTACAAGAGGGCTATGGTCAAATTTGGAATACTAAAAAAGGGCAGTACTATTAACTTCAGAGAATTTCCATTCACAATTAAACTCTTGTAAACTCTTCCAAAAGTAGGGGGGGGAAGGAAAATTTCAAGTTTTATTCCTGTTTTAAATTTTATCTACAGTGTTTATGAGGGGGTTTTACCCAAATTTCGTGACAATAAAATGTAGTGAGGCACTTTGCTCTTTAACAACTATACACAGAAGAAGAAAATAAAATTAAATTGTACACATTAATGTCAGCTGTAAATAAATGTTATGATTTTTAGCAATACTTACAGGATAGGATGTTTGCTATGCTGGAGATCAGCAATGCCCAATCATGTCACTGAGACATTTATTGAAAATTGGATTATTTAGAGCGGCTGTCTTTTTATATCAGTCTTAATTACACCCCTAACTATGACTCATAAGGAAATACCCAACTTTTTTCATTTACTGTCAAAACTGAAAGTTGTTTTAATGAGGAAATTACGGGAAATGGCCCTGTTTTTAAAGAGATTTTGACAGGCCACAGAACAGGTGCAATAATAATACTAAATCCTGGTTGGCACTTAGTTTGCTTTTTTATTTCATTTCCTCATAGCAATCGTTTTAAAAATGTTAACACTGTTTCAAAAGCAAGAGAGACATGAATTGTACGAAGATATAGTTGGCTACTTGATTGCAATTATTACAATCCATCAAAATACTTTATTTAATGAATAACATAAGAAGGGAAACTCTCAGAAAACAAATCCATAGACCTTTCCTTATGTATATCTAATCGTTGAAAAAAATCCCTTATTATTTTCTTAGAATTCCCGTATTTAATATCACCCCAACTCATACCAGAAGCAGCTTAACCCACACCATTCTGATGTAACTGAAACATGTCAAGACGATTCTAAAATGAGCCTTGGTACTACAGTGGTTTAAAGCACCCTGTTATTAACACAGCTGCCTGCAATTTACTGCTGGTTCGAATCTCTCCAAGGCTCAAGGTTGACTCAGCCTTCCATCCTTTCTAAGGTAGGTTAAATGAGGACCCAGTTTGTGGGGGCAATAAGCTGACTTTGTATAAATATACAAAAGTATGAAGGCTATTGCTTAACGCACTGTAAGCCGCCCTGAGTCTCCGGAGAAGGGCGGCATATAAATCAAATTAAAATAAATAAATAAATAAAATGTATAAAATCCAGTGTGTATCTCTGACAATTCTGTTGTCAGGCAGCTGATTGACTACTAGTGCAGAAGATTGACTGCAACTGGTACCTGTTGGCAATTTTAGGCTGGAA